TGATAATGGTGGTAGTAGTGGGCATTTTTCTCATTTGTTCTTTTCCTCCTCCTGCTTCCTCTTATCGTGTATGTTGAAAGTATCACGTGGTAATCTGAGTGGTGGTGGTTCATCATCTATGGCTGAACAATTATTCCCTGGGTATAAGGATAAGATATGGGCTATCATACCTGATGAATATAAACTTATTAAGATTAGGAATGATAATAATATATTCGAAAAAGGTATTAATAAACATAAAGCCTTTCAAGAAAGGTATATTACCTATAAGGATAATATAGAACAACGTTTTATACCATCACAAAAGTATAGGAAACCATCAATTGATTGGAGAAGACAACAGGCCAGAGGTACACTACATATTGGAAGATGGTAATAATAACAACAACAACAGTCAGGAGTAGTAGTAGTAGTATTATAGGTATGAAGGGCCTGATGGTAGTGATTATCGTCCTAATAATACAGTTGATAGGATGAAGGAATTAATACCATTTACTGATAAGGAATGGTCATTAAGGCAAGGTCAACGTACTTGGGATGGTCTTAAGTTTGTTATCATATGTTGGGGAGGTAATAATAATAATTAATAATAATAATGTATGGTATTGGTATTATTGTTAGTATGGATGGGATGGAAGATGACTCAGACTTATCCTATTGTATGGTGTGATGAACAACAACAAGAAGAAGAAGAAGTGGAGTAGGAATTGTACGAGACCTAATGTGATGGTGAACTGATCATAATAGTAGTAGTAGCAATAGTCGATTATGGTAATGAGTAGTAGTAGGAGAAGTAGTGTCTTCACTATTATTGAATATATCTTTTCCTAACATCTTATGTTGAATTAAGTTCATCAACTTATCATCATCATCATCATAACATTGACTGGATTGTCTTAGTAGTAGTATTCATCAGTATTCATCATGCCATTGTCTTCCTCTTCCTCCTCTTCATCATTATCTAATGGTACCACTGTTGGTAGGATAATGATACCAACACCAGTTAGGGTAAGAAGGAATAGTAATGCATTGATAAGTAAAAAGAATAGGAATAAGGTGTTGTTGAATAAGGATGGATGGTATGATAATAATAATAATAGAATAAGATATCCATTGGGGAGGCCTATTGGTGATCTATTACATAACAACAACAACAACAGCAGCAGCAGCCTTATTACATGTGATATAGAGCATGAGGTATCGCTATACAATATAACTACTACATATGATAATAAAGGGAATAATCCAACACCTATTACCAATATACCACTACATCTTAGAACGTAATAATAATAATATGAACAACAATAACATCATCATCACTATCATCATCACCATGTTGTTGTTGTTGTCATTATCGTTCATGATAGGGATACTTTACCATGTATAAGTATATTATATAAACCTCCTGGATACTCTTGTACTAGTGATGATGATCATAATAATAATAATAATCATCAAGCTGCTACTACTACTGCTGTGGATACTACTAGAACTAAATCATGCAGTGCTGTAAGTAATATAGTAAATGATAACACTTCTACTCCTTATTATTATTAGATTGATTATGTTAAGAAGTATTTAAATATTGGGAATATTAATTCTGATAAGAGAGTACAATGTGGTTTTATTCATAGATTAGATATATTTACAAGTGGTATTATTATGGTAGCACATACCTATGCAGCATACTATCAATTACGACATCAGTTCAAGAATAGGGCTATACTTAAAAAGTAATAACTGTTGTTGTTATTAGTATTAGGACCATAATTATGGTTATAAGATACATATGTTTGGTACATGGTCATATGGATGAGGATAGTGGTATTATTGATACTAATATTCAGACTTATTCTTCTAGTAGTAATAGTAGAAGTAAACATATTCCAATATCATCATCATCATCCTACTCTACTACTATTAATAATAATAGTAGCAATATAACTCAACAACAACAACAACAATCATCTTTAAGAAGTTATGTTGTTACTCATGGAGGAAAGAATGCTATTACAAAATGGAAACTTATTAAACGATATACTGTTAATGTTAAGAAGAATAAGTAATAATAAGATTGTTGTTGTTGTTATTATTACTAGTTGTAAGTGTATTATTGGACTCTAGATACTCTATAGCACAAGAAAAGGTATCTTTACTTGAAGTAGAGATACCTACTGGTAGAACACATCAAATAAGATTACATATGTATCATATTGGTCATCCTATTGTATCTGATTATAGGTAATAATACTAACAGCAATAGTATTACTAGTATTAATGATGATAGATATAATATAAGTAATAGACAATATAATGAGGATATACAATGGTGTCCTAGATTATTCCTACATGCATACTTATTAGCATTCTATCCACCATCATCTCTAATACACAACAACAAGAACATGATGAACTATACTCCTAATGTGGAGTATAATACCATACCAATGGGTAGTAGTACTACTAATAATAGGTATGATATAATAATCATTAATACACCACTAGGTATTGGCTCTACTACTACTACTACTACATAGTAGGAGGAGGAGGAGAGTATTATGA